GGGAAAATCTAACTAGAGACCCTGACCTTGAAGTTGGAACCTCAAAGAGCTACATCCTCGAAGTAAAAGGAAAGTAGAAGTCACCCATCCCCCGCCCCAGATGCCGGCAGGTAAATTGCCTATGTCAAATCTTAGTGCTAAGTAAAAGGGAGAAATAATTTTCCCCAAAGGATTGCAAACCACTTGGCAATTAAAAGGAATGAACTGCATATAAACACAACTGCATGGTTGACTCTCAAAAACATGCAGAGAATTCACAACCACAAGGTGGTTCTCAGCAGTATTTATAGGCTAAATACCCACTATTTACATGACTCAGTAAACCTCAAGCTAAAAATTTAAAGTAGTCCCAGACTAATCGTACCCTTGAACCCAGAGACAAATGGTTACAGGGGAAGTCCCAGAGAGGAAATATTAGGTTTGGTGGCCCTTTCCTGTCACCGTTGCAACTAGGTTAAGTTCCCCCCTTCTCTGCTGGGGATATGTTTCAAGACCCCCAAGCAGATGCATTGAACCCTACATATATGTTGTTTTGTGTGTGCATATCTAGGATAAGGTTTAACTTATAAATTAGGTACAAAAAGAGATTAACACCAATAATAAATTAGATCAATTATAATAATTTACAGTAATAAGCTTTACTATAAAAGTGGATGTTGTCTCTTTCTTTTAAACCATCTGACTGTAGGGGATATTCTCAGATGGCAGCTGACCATGGGCAACTAAAATGGCAATAATTAAAAGTGGAGAGGGAGGAATGACTCCACTCACCTTTGCTGTTGTAGTGCAAAAGAAATACACAATAAGTAAATAAATGGGGGTGGTTGTCTTCTGATAAATTCTATTTACAAAACAGATTGCAGGATTTGTTCTGTGGGTTATAGTTTATTGATCCTTTTCCAGAGGCCTGAAGGAAGATGAAATTCCACTTATGATGACTCACCATGAAAATTCTCCAAATAAAGAAATGAGCACATTTGGAAAAGAATCAAATATGATTCAGAAATTAGAAATGTAAGACTGCAAGTTTTAAAAAAATCAATGAAGGTTAACAGTAGATTACCTAGAATTGATGAACTAGTGAAATGATAGAAAAGTGTCCAGAAAAAAGTCTAGAGAGGCAAAGAAATAAGAAATATTAGAGATTTAGAGGCATGTAGGATAGTGTAAAAAAGGCTAATATTTGCCTAATCAGACTTCTAAAAGTAGGAAAGGGAAAATAGGACAAAGCTTTTATTTAACTAAAGGGATGCCTGACAGCTTTCAAGAATTGATGGAAAATATGAATCCTAAGATGAGATACTTACAAGCAAGATAAATAAAGAGAAATCCATATCGGGATACATCATAGTAAAAAGATAAAATAAGAAAAACAAAGAAATGGACTTAAATACACCCACAGAACAACTACCTTAAAATAAGTTAATAATTAGACTGGTAGCTAATTTCTCAATAGCAACTATGGAATTATCTTTAATGTGATTACAGAAAAACAGTCAATCTGAACAATGAAGAATGAGTACAAAATAAATGTACTTGCAGGGAAACGAAAATAAGGAGTCACTAACAGACTCTCACTAAAGGAAAGTGATCCCAGATGGACTGAGATAAAAGAGGTAGAATATGAAGTGGTAAAGTGTGGGGAAACACTGAAATAATAATGATAACAATGACAACTCTATGACAATTTGTGGGATTATGTCACTAATTAAAATCTATAAATTGACAAGAGGGGAGATGAATAAGCAGAATTCAAGTTCTAGGGTTCTTCTATCCAGAAGGAATGAAGTGTAGTGATCAACTTCTGACTTTAAGAATACAAGTTGAAACTTATAAGGTAACCACAGAACAAATAGAAATAAGACTATTAATCCCCAATTTAAATAAAGCAAATGGAAAAGGAAAGAGTGATAAATCTAAAAGAGGTCAAGAAAACAGAAGTGGGGCCTCCCCGGTGGCGCAGCAGGTTGAGCACAGCGCTATGAAACTGTCAGCAGCTTCTGCCAGGGAGATACCCACATGGTATGACAGACCTCTCCTGTCGCACCCACTGCTCCCCTCAGCAGTATATTTTGGTTGTCTGACTGTTCTGCTCCCCGCTAGCTCTGTCTCTGGTGAATCCTCTCACCCTCCCTCACCTCTGGCCTGTATGCCAGCTCTTGTATAAAAATAAATAAATCCAAAAAAAAAAAGAAAGAAAGAAAATGGAAGTGGAAAAAGAAGAGGAAGCACAAAATAAGGTAAAATAAATCCAAATAAATTTGCATTTAGTGTAATAAATGTTATTATTGTTCTATTAAATACAAATGTTGCTCTCACACTGCTGTTGGGTTGTATAAAATGGTCCTGCCCTTTTGGAAAGTTTGCTCTTTCAACATGAAAGTTGAATATACTGATATTCTACCATGCGACAATGCAGATTCCTACTAAACATTCAAGTTAGGGAAGCTCTTGTGCCAGGAGACATAAACGAGTGTTTACAGCAAAGTCACAAGCACCCTACTATCCATGGACAGCAAATGGGTAGGTAATTTGTGATGTTTCATACCTTCTAGGATATATTCATGTTCTACTGCATCATCCTGGGTAACGAACATGCAGGTATTTTGTTCTTATGCCCCTTAAATTGTACCTGCATACTTTCATGCACATGTGTGTATTCATAATTTCACAATCAAAAGAAGTGAGAAGTAGAGTAGTAAATTATGAAAGTCTTCAAAGCCAGTGACTGCTAGAGCCACAATCAGCAGTCTTATGACTCCTCAACTCATTTTGGCCCCTATTCTAAAAAAATAATATTAAATGCTACTTAGATCAATCCACTAGAAACCAGTATTACAAAATAAAAGCAAGCATGTGGGTGAATCAGTAAGAGGGGTCAACTGTAGGATGATGGATGGAAACTAGAATTCTGTAACATAGTATTCACTTTCAAAGGTTAGACACCTGGAACTTATATAATGTGATAAATCAATATTACTTCAACTTTAAAAAAAAAAAAGCAAGCACACAGCTCTGTCAAGATCCTTATTAAGGCCCCCAGCTTTCAGTACCAATCCAAATCTCACCCCACCTCCCATCATAACCTGCTTAGGTTTAGCAGGAAGCCCATTAGGTCAGTGAAAGCACATTTCAGGAGCACTAAATGAGAATAACTTGGTCAAAAGGCCATGCTCATGACCACAGCACATTATCTGTAGTCATGAGACACCAACACCCTTATCATATATTGTAAGATATCAACAGATGCCCAAAGTACAACCTAAGCACACAGGGCTAATAGCAAGATCACCAAGCTGAGGTTGCATAAGCCTGGGAAGTCTGCTCATGCAGGAAAATGTCCCTCAAGACAGTTCTTTGCAGCAGATTCTGATCCAGGCGGTTTCCCCTGTAATCTGATACCTTCACTCTCTAGTACAAGGCAGTTCCTCTAGTTCCAACACGTGCCAGGATATTTCAGAAACCCTAGGGATTCCTAAAACCTGACGTCTGTTCATAGTCACAGACCCGTAATTTTTTTTAAAAAGGCAAACTCAAGACTCAGCAAATGAATCTGTGCAAGGGTTGGATGAAATGTATCTAATGAAAGTTTTCTACCAAACATTACCTACTTTGATATCCCATTACAACTGCAGAAGACGCAGAAGTTTAGATGAAACTCTATGCACAATATTTCTATGTATGTACAATATTACTAAAGTGGGTATAAAATATTAGGAAGGATAAATGCAAAAAAAAATTTCTAGGGAACAAAGGCTAAATCTGAACAATATTTGCTTTCTGTAAATATTTTCAATAACAAGGCAACTCCTGAACAAATTGGAAACTAGATGTGTAAGCCAAAGACATAAATGTTTGATTGAGAGCATTTTATTTTCTAGTGAATACGGGACACTATTGTTACTGTCATAGTGCTCTTGGGAAGACACATTTTATCATGTCAAAATAAAATGACTATTCTTTTCTGAAAGAGGACTAATAAATAAAATGGATTGATTAAATCGTTATATCAATTATGAAAAGTAAATGAGAAAAACTTCAGAGAAAAGATGAAATGTACCCCCAGGGTACATACTGATTTTCAATCAAGATCACCCCAGCCAAATTTTGAAGGTGCAAAACTTTGGGCAAGAAAAAAGGGGTGGATGTGGTCTTGTTAGGGGGAAAGGATGTCCTGAGCTAATTCCATACAGGCTTTGTGGACTCCACCCCCACTCCAGACCAAAGCCATCAAGACATTGGGAAAGACAAATCCCATCATCACCAAAGGGAGGGTTGCTGAGACCTGAGGGTGGAGTTAAGCAGCCAGGTTTGGTATAAAACCAGACACGTGGGCCTTGGGGGGCTCTCTTGACTTCACGGCTCTTGGCTCACCGCCAGCTCTCAGAGTGCCATTTGGGACTCCATGTCAGCGGAACGGGTAGGATGCATTTAAGACTTTATCTCCCTATTTTCTCACTGAGTTGTACATTTCCTCATTTTCCCTTCCCTTGTAAATAAACCTTTTATTAACCTTTTGTGTGTGCCTGCAGTTGAGTATTACTAAGTCCCTTTTAAGTGCGTGGGTGAGGACCCACTGTCAGACAACCCGTTTTATATTGGGGTTGCCCTGTAACAGTCTGAGAACAGTAGAGTAGCTGACCATGAAGCCACCCTGCTTGCAAATAGTCCTTTGGATCAGATCCATCCAGCTGGATAAGGGGAATATACACTGCAGCATTGCTCCAGGTTACCTGTCTCTATTATGACAGTTGCCTGAGTGTACCTACAAAGTATCTGAAGTCTGTGACTTGCTCAAGGCAAAGTCTACAAGGTCAGAGTCCAGACAACTAGACTATTAAAAAAAAAAGAAAAGAAAGAAAGACAAACCAAAACCAATGGTTCGTGTTCTTGTTTACCAGAGATTCCAGTCCAATAAAATCGATGCTGTTGAAATAAAAACAAACAATTCTATTTTGTAAAATGAGAGAATTTAATTTTACTCCAAATCAGAAAAGGGTAGAGGTGAGAGGAAAAAACAATGCCAAACACATTTAAAAATATAGAATTTATTTATATTCACCATAAGACAGTTTCACATTCTGTACATGGTTACCAGAAGAGAGAGAATGCTTTCAACGTTGACGATGGCATTATATTGCTATCAAACATTGCTTATCTGTGTAAGTTGGGAAACACTTATTTCCCCTTTAAAAAATTAAAGGCTCATTTCCCAAAAGGTAATTTTGCCACTCATTTTTCTGTTTAAGAACTGGGAAAGTTCTGAAATAAACCGCAAAGGGGTGGAGGGCTGCACGCTTTTACCTGCTCCTGCTGGAGATCATCACGTGATTGTTGTTGCTGTTGTAAAAGGCTCCTCCTATTTGCAAATATGATTACAAATTCAAACAAAGAAGCAGACAGGGAGACACTAGTTATAGATCTTCAATATACAAACAAGGAAAATGAAAAACTTCAGCACATGTTACGGCTAAAGTGTGTGTTCGAAAGTTGCCTGTGTATAAATGCATACACACACTTGGGCTTACTTCAGTTGGGTAAAGTTCACCAAACAACTGTTCTCATCTAACACTCTAAGAAAAAATATTGACAGTTTCTTTCAACTCTTATCAAGAGATCACAAAGTTGTCCTTTCTCCTAAATAGCAACCTTTATTCCTCCTTTCAACCTTGCACTAGATCAGAACCGTGACCTTAACCGTGAGCTTGGATGTCACCCACACCACACCCCAAGTGATTGGAGGGGGTAGGAGGAAAGGGAGTGAGAAAGAGAACTGGGAAAGGAGAGTTTGGGAATTGTTTTTTTCTTGATAATTACATACCCATGGGTTCCAAAAACAGTAAGTTCCAGTAGTGTTTTAGAAGTACATTTTTCTGTATAAATATTTCTTTCAATCAACAATAACACAATCATTTCACAAAAGGCAGAATCTGTTTAAATTCAGTAAACTCCCTGAATTTAAACAACTCATGGGGCTAGCGCTAGAACAACAAAAGCCCATGGGTCCCGCCCCTGGCATAGAGGTAGAGACAATCCTCCGGTAGAAGAGATTACAAATAAAAAACAATAAAACAAACAAATAAATGCCTCCCTTGCCTCAAAAAAAAAAAAAAAAAAAGAAGAAGAAGAAGAAGAACACACACACACACACACACATTCCATTTTTAAAGGCTAATTCTGGGAAGCCACATTTGATCTCCAAAGATTCTGATTCAGTCCGATTCTGAATTGAGAGATCCATTGCCCACAATCATCTTGCTGTAATTCTTCTGCTGCTCTTCCTTAAAAGTGTCCTTCACCTTTGCTCTCTTTAGGCCTCCATCCCTGGGAAATCAAAGGCAAATAAATAAAGATACTCACTGCAGTGATTTGAAAGAGTTACTTATTAATACGTGCTGCCTGGTATCCTGCCACATATGTGTCTGATTAGCAATAGGGCAAAGGACCCTGGATTCTGAAGCAGAAAGACCCAGTCCTTCTCTCCTTCTTACCAGAAGAAGGAACAAAGTCTCTCAAGACTGGTTAAAGCAAAGAATAATATCCCAACCAGTTTCTTTTTAGAAGTTAGGGCTGCTGTACTCACTATTTGGACATTACATTCAAACTACGGTTATTTATCTATCTTCTTCCCCAAGGAAAGCAGAATACTACTGTTATTTTTTCATCTAATCAAGGTACTTACTAAAAAATCATCAGGCAAATTTTAAACAGATGCTCAGAAAATGATGGGGGAAATGTATATGTGTGGGTAAATCCCTTAAGGATCAATAGATTAACCATAATAAAAAAAATCTAATCCTAATTTTCACAAGTTGTATTTTAAAGCACCCTATATTTCCAGTATTTCTAATCTTCCATATTCCAAAAGTGACTCAGAATGAAACAAATAACAAAATCATAAACTGCATGCAACTACCAGTTAGTGCCCATGTGAGCAGTGTTTCTGAATTCAGAGCATGTGAATCTTTGAATTCTCTACAGGGTGGTAAAAATACAGACCTGTTTGAGCTATAAGAACTCTGCATGCCTTTCCTTCTTTGGACAACACAAAGAAACAAACTGAAAGGGCTGGGAGGAGACTCAACTATCTAAGGCCACCATGCCTCTCCTAATTTAATACTTCAGATTTAACTCCTATGAGAGAGTGTAGACTGAGAATTTGCTTGCTTTACACTGTGCCTGTTTAATTTTAACCCAACTTAGCACAAATGTTTACTGCATGTTCTCTAACGATGATGAATGGATGGTCATAGGTTAGCCGGTGAACTCAATGCCAGAAAGACAGAACTTGACCTCAGATACCTGCCTGAGACCTACAATTCTGACTCTAGAGTCAAATCCAAAAACACCATCCACCAATAAATCCTCAACTTAAAACAACCGACTGCAGTGCACAAAATCCTCCAGGGGTCCAGTTGTAGAAAATTTTCATAAAGCAAGGTTATAAATTATCACTACTTCTCCTGAATTATCCACAAAAGCCTCTTGTATCTAAATGCACTGAACTCTGAATAGTAAGAACTAAAGAAGGGTGGGCGGGAGAGACAAGAGGGCCATTCCTCCTTTTCTAAAGACAAGGTCAACAACATAAAGTTAGCAAAATCTGCCCTTGAGCATTCTGATATTACTTTTACTCAAATTTTCCCCAGCACTCAGTAAACCTACTACTGCTTTAAACACCTGTTTTGACTTCTCATCTGTTGCAGTGGCAGCAAATCTTAGTGCTTAGAAGGAACAATCATATATAAAAGTCAGTTCAGAATGATACAATTAAGTTCTCATTCAATGTAGGATTAAAAACCAACCTACAGTTAATTCATACCTAATGGGTCATTTACCTTATGGGTAAATGGGTCTACTTACCATTTACCCATAAATAAATGCAATGGGTATTTGCATGGGAAAAGCAATGGGTCTATTTTCTTTTCAGAGAATAGGCAAGGTAATTAAAACTCATCCTTTATTGTCAAATTGCATAAGACCTGACAAAAGGAAATTGAAAAACGCTGAGGTTATTTGTGATGGAATTTGTTTAAGCAATCTGATCTAGAGTCTGTCTGATGTCTGTGGCTGACTTCCCCAAGCTGTTTTTATTTCTTAATGTTTTCTTCCTTTCTTTGGTGTCTGAGGTCACCTCTGCTAGCTTTTCACAATGACTTCAGGGCCGGAGCAGGGCTGGGAATTCAGGTAAAAGGAAGGGGGTAAAGAATAGAAAACAATGAATAAAAAGGAAGCTAGTACAACATGACCGTGGATCACAAGGTTATCTGTGATCCAAGACCTTGTAAGCCAGGGCATTTGTAAGCCCATCATTTCATGATGTTATGAAAGATCTCAACATATTCCAGCTTAGATAATATAATACCAATATTAGCCTTAACCTATCTTAACCCTACTTTTGGTCTAAGGGCCAACTACTCGCCCTATACCAAGAGCTCATAGTAGGGGGTTAGTCAGCTAAGCATTTAATCCAGAAATGCTACTGCAAGGCTTCCCCTAATTTTATCTCCCATCAACTTCATGGCCTTTGTTAATTAGCATAATGGATTTTAGAAATATGTTTCCAGCTGCAGACATTGGTGGCTTGTTAATTAGCAGAATGGATTCCTACAATAGGCTTTCTGGGGTGAAACTATGTGCATTCAAGAAATGTGAGTGGATAAGGTATTTTAGAGATTCCCCCACCCTTGTGTAAAGAAGTTAAAGAATCCAGCTAGCCCAATTTTTTTTTTAAAAGATTTATTTATTTATTTATTTATTTATTTATTTATTTATTTATTTATTTATACAAGCACTGGGTACAGTAAGAAGCGCAGGAGGGTGAGAGAATTCACCAGAGCCAGAGCGAGCCAGAGCGGAGAGCAGAGCAGGCAGAAAGACCGAAGTACACTGCTGAGGGGAGCAGCGGGCGGCAGGAGAGGTCTGCGCGCCATGCGGGACCCTCCTCCGGTGGCCAGGGAGCAGCCGGGGATGCTAGCCCAATTTTTAAAGGCTTTAATCCCTAAACAATCCTGCGTGCCTCTGCTGGTTCAGAGGTTCTGGGTTGCCTGTTTAACAACAGCCTAAGTCCATTCCTGCTTCTAGAACATTCCTACAATTGTCTCCCATGAATTTCTCATGTAAAGTGTTTTTTTAAACAACAAAACAGTAGAGATTTTATTTAATTTTCAGGACTAGAAGTATGAACTGTTTTCTGCCCACCTTCTAATGTAATATCTGCATGTATATAAGAATTTAATCTCTCATTATAATATAGGAATAGTTAACCCTCACTGATACAGACTAATGCTTATGTCTCTCTGAAATTCATATGTTGAAGCTCTAACACCCAATGTGATGGTATTTGGAGATGGGGTTCAGTGCTCTTTCATGAGGAGACACCAGAGAGGGGCTCTGTACACCCTCGTGAGATCTCTCTCTCTCTCTCTTTCTCTTTACCTGCCCTTCTGCTTGCACAAAGAAGAGATCCTAAAGCAACAGCAAGAATGTGGCCATGTGTGAGCGAAAGGTAGAGAGGACTCACACCAGAACCCAACCAGCTGGCACCATGACTTCAGACTTCCAACCTTTAGACTCTAAGAATTTTCTGTTAAACAACCCAGTCTTTTTTTGTTATAGCAGCCTGGGCAGTCTAATACACTCACCTACTTTCAATCTTTCTCAACAAACTAAAGCCATAGCTATCATAACTAAAATATTTCATTGTTTTCTTTCTTCCAAGTTTTCTTTAATATAGCTATAGGTAGAGTTATATATGAACAAGTCTGTAAGCTGCCCCTTGCCTCCCAGGATCCATTCCTCACCCTCAAATCTATTCTACCTTTCTTCAGTAACAGAACCCTACATTTTAGCTAAGACTATGCTCACACAGAACAAAGACTCCATCTCCCCTGCATCCTTACAACTAGTTATTATCATCACACAACTCGGTCCCAGCCACAGGACACAGCAGAAGTGGTATGCCCGCTCCTCCAGCCTGCATCCAAGAGATGGAGGTGTCCTCTTGCTTTATTCCTCCCTGCTAGATATCTGCACTAACACTCAGTATGCCTGGAGCAGCCAGCCCTGACCATAAAGTCATAAAGAAGGTAGAAAAATACAGAATGAGCTGTTATTCCAGCCTGAACTGCCTCTATTTAAGTAAGAGGGATAAATATCTATCTTGTTTAAGCCATTGTCATTCTGTATAAAATGCTACATAACATAATAACATCAAAACCATAGTTCTAAACCTAACTATATCCTGTTTCTGCTTATCTTGCAAGGACAGCAAAGTGGGCTTGTAAAAGTGAAACAATGGCACAAAAACACCCTTATACATTTTTAAAGGAAGAAAATGGATATTTTATAAGATGACAAGTTGTGTTTCAGAGCACAGGTCCAGAAAAGTGATCGCTGTACCTCAAGTAGCTCTCTCATTGCCTGGGTGAAAATAGTCAGAGGAGGGAACTAGAAGCTAGGCTCATGACCAGATGAACAACACACAGAAGGGAGAAGCGCTCAGTTTGCAAGGAAGCAGCTGAGTCGGGCTGCAATTGAATTAGAGTTACCCATGACAAAAAAAAAAAAAAAAAAAAAAGCAACAGAGACAGCAAAGACCCATACATAAGTATCCAAACCCTGAAGAATCTAAAAAGGAGTCCCACAATTCCCTATCACTCCCCCAAACAAAGGTCCCTCACAGTTTAACAATTATCTCCCAGAGGCATAGGAGATCAAAACAAATGGGGAGAAGAATTCTGCAGCCAAGCATGCCAAGGTGACACCCAAAAAATGTAGAGTGGAAGGTGGAGTAAAGGTCAGGCATTTCCCTGCTCCAGACTGCTTTGTGAGAAGGGTGGCCAGCACCGTGGGAGCGACAATTAAGGGAAGTCCCCTGGGCTAACATTGCCGGGCAGCTGCTAAGACTTTCTGAGTGTCCAACCCGAACCTGGCGAGCCCACCACAGACCTAAAACTCCTGGCTGACACAGCAGCCTTACACACTCAGTTTCGTGTGTCTGATGCACAGCTAAGGTTAGAATGCGGAAACACTGACGTTTGGAGTAGGGAACGTTTGCTGCAAGTCACAAGCAAGGAGCCAGGAGAAATAGTGAAATCTCCTCCCCATCTATGTAGGTGAAGGTGATCACATTGGGAAGTGGGTGGAGAACAAAGAAAATATTTTAACAATGCAAGTTGGTAGAGCTTGATTGGTTGCTCGCTGCTGAATCGAGGTGTAACTGGAAGTTAGATTTAGAACTACAAAAAAATCGGGTGCCTCTCATTTCCGAATGTCGTCCATCTGACTATGAGCCTGGCTTCTAGCTCCCTCCTTCATGGCTAAGGTCCCTTGAGTCAGCAAACATTTTTCTGGGCCCGCACGCTGAAACACAATTTGTCCAATTATGAAAAATCCATTTTTTTCTTTGTTTAAAATGTGTAGGAGGGCCTCCCTGGTGGTGCAGGGGGTTAAGCACAGCACTATTAAGCTATTCACAGCCTCTGCAGCACAAGTTTGATCCCCAGCCAGCCAGGGAGCTACAGTCTGCTACACAAGGAGCAGCAGACCTCTCCTGTTTCACCCACTGCTCCCCTCAGCAGTGTGTTTCAGTCAATCTGCCTGGTCTGTTCCCCACTCTGTCTCTCACCCCCTCACGTCTGGCCTATACCCCAGTTCTTGTATGCATAAATAAATAAATCTTTAAAAAAAATATGTAGGAATGTTTTTGTCCCATTGTTTCACTCTCACAAACCCAGCCTGATGTTTTTGCAAGATAAACAGAAACAGGAAAATACCACTAAGGACACCACAGTTTCAACATTATTAAAAGGTTTTTAATGTTTAAAAAAAGTGATGGTACTTCTGAGAAATTTCTTACCAGGGAAGTTCAGTCAACCCTCCTTGCACAGCAATAGCAGACTTCACCCTATTAGCAAACTGAACTGCATCTTCTCCTTCCTGGAAAATAAAAATATATACAAAGTATTTCTGAATATAGTTTTCAAATAATGCCTTAAATGTCTCATAATCATTTAGATTTGTTTTAAAATATAAGATTCACATTTTAGTTTCAAATAAGTTCTAGTCTCAACCTTAGCAAATGTTATATGTTCTACCAAAAAATTTAATGCTTATTGTTTAATATTTGATCATGTGCACATATTATATTCTTTGTCAATCTTATGTAAGGTATTAACATTCCACAATAAACCAACAGCAGTTGTAAAAACTACAATGGAGAATAATCTCTGAATATATAATAACTTGGTAGGAAGTCATTGAAAAATGACTCATTTGGGCCTCCCTGGTGGTGCGAGGGGTTAAATGTCAGCACTGTGAAGCTATCCGCAGCCACTGCAGCACAAGTTCAAGCCCCAGCCAAGGAGGAGACCCACATGGCACAGCAGACCTCTCTGGCTTGCCCAATTCTCCTCTCAGCAGTGTATTTCAGTAGATTTGCCTGTTCTGCTCCCCACTCTGTCTCTGGTGAATCCTCTCACTCCCTCACCCTGCCCCAGCATCCTGGCCTACACCCAGCTTGTATGCATAAATAAAATAAATCTTAAAAAAAGAAAAAGGAAAATGACACATTTGCTGAAAAAGCAGAAAAGAAATTCAGTTTTTGAAGATATGAAGAAGGGAGTGTCAGGTTAAGGATTTCTAGTGTTTATCTGATTAGATAAGACACCAAAGGCCAGCTGTTATCTGTCATTACCTCTCTGGTCATGGGGGGCATGTACCACACGTCACAGACGATGGCCCAGCTGGTCATCATTCGAAGCAGGTAGCTTACCATATTATATTTACTGCTGTTCCAAAATGCATCACCAAACTGAGGGTTATACTAAGAAAAAAGAAAACACATCCCAGTCATGGTACCGTCTCTTATCCGTGTCAATGTTTTCAAGGTCAATTATCTCTACTGGACTCCAAGAAAAAAAGAAAAGCTACTCTGTTTGATAGAAATGTAATCAACCAAGCTCTCTGACCAGAGCCCCCAAGGCCTACACCAAGAAAGGATTACACAATTCTAAAATATCTGTCTCTCCACTTCACTGGAAGGCTGGTGAAAGCAGGAGCAGTATCTGATTTGCAATCAGTATGTCTGTCCTCTGCTCAGGCCTTGGCACAATAGCCCCTAAGGATACATTTATCAATAGAGAGAGGAGGATTGAGTAAGGGGGCAAAATGTAAACAATGGTGAATCTGAGGAAAGAGTATACAAGTGCTCCTTACTACTGCAAATTTCAAAATTGAAATTATTATCTGGGCCTCCCCGGTGGCGCAGCAGTTGAGCGCTGGGTTGCGAAGCTGCCCGCAGCCTCTGCAGCACCGGTTCCATCCCCGGCTGCTCCCCAGCCACCGGAGGAGGGTCCCACATGGCGCGCAGACCTCTCCTGCCGCCCGCTGCTCCCCTCAGCAGTGTACTTCAGTCTGTCTGCTCTGCTCCCCGCTCTGGCTCTGGTGAATTCTCTCACCCTCCCCCCTTTTGACTGTACCCAGTGCTTATATAAATAAATAAAAATAAATCTTAAAAAAAAAAAATGAAATTATTATCAAAATAAAATGTACCAGGTCTCTGTCTCTATTTGTTTGCAGAAATGGGAGGGTGGTATCCATTTTACCTTAATTGCAACAGGATGTATGGTTCCTCCAATTTCGAAGCTTCCCTTTTTAAACATCATGACTGAAGTGTTGTTGATACAAGTTCCTGCATGGACATCAAGGAGGGGCGGTGATGAATATTTTTAAAAGTCGCCATTTTTTGAAGAAATTTTTTAAAGAAACTATTTTTATTTAAAATAGTCAAATCACAAAAATTCACAGATAGTTTACTACCATTGCACAAATCAATTCCTGCTTAAGTAGTAACTGGGCTCATCTAAGCAGATTTCATGACAAATCTATACTTTATTACTGAATTTCTATTGGCAATAAGGGACTATTCAATATGTTTAAAATAAAGACCTTTAAAAAATTATGGCCGGGCTTCCCTGGTGGCACAAGGGGCTAAGACGCAACCTTATGAAGCTATCTGCAGCCACTGCAGCATGAGTTCAACCCCCAGCCAGGGAGCTACCCACATGGCACAGCAGACCTCTCCTGACACACCCATTGCTCCCCTCAGCAGTGTATTTCAGTCAATCTGCCTGTTCTGCTCCCCACTCTGTCTCTGGTGAATCCTCTTACCCTCCTGCGCATCTGGCCTGTATCCCAGTTCTTGTATGCATAAATAAATAAATGTTTAAAAAGTATATATGGTCAATACATTTCTAAGGTCATTACCCCCAAAAAAACTCTTAAAATCAAAAAGGCACCATGTCCTTTATCAAATCTCAAAAGAGAATGGCTAGCTCAGAGAGCCCATTCTATTCCAATAGAAGAACAGAGATTTGGAAGAAGAATGCCAAGTTTAGAACAATCCAACTCCTTAGACATTTTTGGTGCTTCATGTTATCAACTGTAGCCTGGTGTTCCTTCTTACCTTCAGGAAAGATTAATATGGGTAATTTTTTCTTATCAGCAATGTGTTCTTGTAGTCTGTAAAGAAAAATAAAGCATCAAAATTCTACTTTTAAGAAGAAAGAGAGGGGGCCTCCCTCATGGCACAAGGGGTTAAGATGCAATTAATGAAGCTGTCTGCAACCTCTGCAGCACAAGTTCGATCACCCGGCTCACCAGGGAGCAACCCACATGGACAGCAGACCTCTCCTGACTTGCCCACTGCTCCCCTCAGCAGTGTATTTTGGTCAATCTGCCTGTTCTGCTCCCCACTCTGTCTCTGGTGAATCCTCTCACCCCCACACCTCTGGCCTGTACTCCAGCTTTTGTATGCATAAATAAATAAATCTTTAAAAAAAAATAGAGAGCAAGAGAGTGAAGCCCTCATTGGTATTCTTTACTTTTATAACACAAATGTAACTGTAAACCAAAAAGAAATACCAGAAAAGGAAATAAACTCAAGTTGATCCCTTTCTTACAGAGTATAAGGGTAGCTGTTTCAATATCTCTCCTTCCAACATGAGGGATTCACAGTGCATTCTGCCTACTCTTTTCTTTTCTTTTTTTTTTTTAAATATCTGGATTTTTTTTTTTAGCAGCACTAAACATACCTTTATTGTTTTTTTAAAGATTTATTTATTCATGCATACAAGAACCGGGGTACAGGCGGGAGGGTGAGAGGATTCACCAGAGACAGAGCGGGGAGCAGAACAGGCAGACTGAGTGAAATACACTGCTGAGGGGAGCAGCGGGCGAGACAGAAGAGGTCTGCTGTGCCATGTGGGATTCTTGCCGGCCAGCCGGGATCAAACCCACATTGTGGAGGCTGCAGACAGCTTCACAGCACTGCGCTCAACCGCCTGCACCACCAGGGGAGACCACTGCCTACTCTTTTCAAAGAATGCTAGACAATAGTGCAGCATGACACCTTTCTCCATGTACCTATATTTCTTCATTTGAAAAATGGGAATATTGATTGCTGGATCTGTCTGCCTTGTGGTCAAAAAGTATAAGAAGATTTCTTAATTGAGTCAAGCTGATTTATCCCATGAAATATGCACCATAAAGCTGAGACTGATGCAGGTTATTCCATACTTAAGCCTCCCTGCCGTCAGCCTTACATTCCCAAATGCTCTCCAAAAGGTGGTAAAGTTGAGATGGACAGATTACAGGTGCCAGTGTCCTATTGCTAAATAATCTCATGATGAGGAACAATTTTTTTTAACCTTAAACAGATTTCAACAAGTACTTCTCATTTCACTCTTAAAAGCATGGCCTACACCTGTGGTCACAGAAGTATAGACCAGAGTATCTTCAATTAAAGGTCTTCAGCAAAAAGCTGCTTCCTCCAACAAAGGTTTCTGGGAGCTCACCTAAGCACAGAAATTCCTTCTTCTCCTCTTCTATAAACAGCATTAGCCTTGGCTGTGTGTAGCTGATTTACATGACCATTAGGTCATTCAGCAAAAACTAAGTCGCTTATCTATTTATTTGACAGTTATTTAAGATTTAAGGCAGCAGTTTTTAACTTTAAAAATCCAGTGATTGCACTATATCCAAGTCACAGCTAATACAGACTTACGGTCTTCTAATCTTGTCACATATATCCCACTATGACTACAGAATTAAAATTTTTTTAATTTACCTAAAACAAGTGATTCACCAGAAAAAGCCAACCACAAAGAGCTCTCCATATGCTTTAGTTTTTTAATCCTTAGTGTTGCTGTGCCCTCTTTGGCAGGAAGGCCAAGGTTTATTGGTTCTTAGGATACCCCAATTAATACTAAGTCAGGTGATGACTGCTAACCTTTTAGTAACCAGGTGTCGATCCTTCATTTCTGAGCGTTCAAACCAGACATGTGGACAAGCCTTGACCATAGCTCTCTGGATGATTCCCATCAATCCACCATGAACTTGGCCAACCTAGAAGTACCATGAGAAAAAGAGAAAAATGTAAAGGCACAGCTGTTCAAAGAAAGCTTTTGGGTTTTTTTAGTACCAATAAGTTCCTATTCCTCACTCAAATATAAGATTGGCCCTCTTCCGCTGATGGAAGTTCTTATCTGTTCAAAGGGTATGAATGGTCAAATGTAAGCAAAAGATGTTCTTAAAATGTTTTTGAATTTTGAAATGTCTTTTAAATGTTCTTAAAATGTCAATTTATTTAATTCTTCTTTTGATTTTTATTTTTTTCAGAAAACCTATATTGTGAAATAATATGAAATATTAATGAAAAGTTTTAAGACTTTAACAATTTTTTTTAAAGTAATATAGTCTCATAATATTCTCATGTGACCCAGAAACATAAGATCACTCCTCCTGAGATGCATGTAACCACACCACACCCACCACCAAGGTAGCCATAATTTTTAAGTAAGGTGTGAGATAATCTAGCTTCATTCTTTTGTGTCTGTGGCTGTCCAGTTTTCCCAATACCATTTGTTGAAGAGACTTCTCCTGTGTGTACTCTTGGCTCTTTTGTCAGAAACTGTCTATATACATAAGGATTTATTTCTGGGCTCTCAATTCTATTCCATTGTATTGTGGGTCTGTTTTTGGTCTAGTACCATATTGTTTCAATTACTAGAGCTTTGTAGTATAGTTTGAAGTCTGGGAATGTGATACCACTAATCTTTGTTGTCAGAACTGCTTTAGCTATTTGGGGTCTTTTGTGGTACCAAATGAATTTCAGTAATATTTGTTCCATGTCTTTCAAGAATTTCTTTGGGCCCTTGATATGGATTGTATTGCATTGTATATTGCTTTGGGTAAGATGGCCATTTTTACCATGTTAATTCTTCCAATTCATTAGCTGGGAATATCTTTCCCTTTTTTGCTTGTTGTCTTTTTTTTTTAACAATCCCTTATCATTTCCATTATAATGGTCCTCATCTCCTTTATTAAGCTTAATCTTAGGTATTTAATTCTTTTGGATGCAAGGGTTACTATTTCAATTCATTTTTTAGCAGTGTCTTTAGGGTTGTCTATGTATATTATCGCCTGTATGTAATATGCAAACAGTGATAGTTTTACTTCTTTTTTCCCACTTTGGGCTCCAGTGCAATTGCTCTAGCTAAGACTTGCAGAACTGATAATAGTGCTAAATGTGGATATCCTTGCCTTCTACCAGATCTTAGAGGAAAAGCTTTCAGTCTTTCAGTATTGGTATGATGTTAGCTGTAGGTTCATCTTTTATGGCTTATGTCATTTGAGGTATTTTCCATCTATTCCCAGTTTCTGTGAGGGTTTAATTCAGAAATTGATATTGAATTTTATCAAATACTTTCTCTGCATCTATTGATATGGTCATATGGTTTTAATCTTTCCCTTTGTTGATGTAGTAAATACTGACTGATTTTCTGATGTTATATTGTCCTTGTGTTCCAGAATAAATCCTACTTGGTCAAAATGTATGATTTTTTTAATGTATTTTGTTTGCTAATATTTTGTTATGGATTTTTGAGTTTTGTTCATCAGAGATATCGGTCTGTAACTTTTTAGTGATATTTGTGTCTGGTTTTGATAGCAGAGTGAAGCTGTCCAATTGAATGAGTTTGAAAAGATTCCCTCTTTCCCAATTTTTGGAAGTGTTTGAGTAGGATGGATATTGTCTTTGAAGGTTCAGTAGAACTCACTCATGAAACTGTCAGGGCCTAGCCTTTTTGGTTTTTGGAAATAATTTTGTTACTGTTTCAATGTCCTTGTTTGTCATTGCTCTGCTCAGTCTTTCTATTTCTTCCTCATTCAGTTTTAGAAGGCTGTATATATCTAAGAAGTTGTCCATTTTGTCTAGATTATTCAACTTACTGGCATACGGGTGTTCATAGTAATCTCTTGCACTCATTTGTATTTCCAAAATATCTGTTGTAATTTTTGTTTTGTTTCAGTTCCTATTTATTAGCATTTTCCCCTTTTTTTCCTTAGTTAATCTAGGTAGAGGTTCATCTATTTTGTTAATTTTTTTAAAGAACAAGCTTTTGTTTTCATCATAATGTTGGACTTTTTTTTATCTGTTTCATTTATTTCTGCTCTACATTTTATTATTTCCTTAATTCAACAACTTTGGCTCTGTTTGTTCTTTTTAAGTTCATTAAGGTGAGAGGTGAAGTTATTTATTTGGGCTCTTTTTTGTTTCTTGATGTGGCCTATGTTGCTATATACTTCCCTCACTTCTGTTTTTTGTCATGTTCTATAAATCCTAAAAGTTTGTATCATTATTTTTGTTTGTTTCCACATATATTTTAATTTCTACTTTGATTTCCTCATTAATTATGTTGTTCTATGTCCACATATTGGGTTTTTCCTGCTTTGTCTTTGTGGTTGATTTAAAGTTTGATACCATTTTGATCAGAGAAGATATTTCATATGCTTTCAATCTTCATGAATTTATTGACTCCTGTTTTGTGACCAAACATATTGTCTTTCCTGGAGAATATTCTATGTGCATTTGAAAAGAATGCATAATCAATTCTCGGGGGGGGTACAAATGTCCATGTGGTCTAAAATCATTATTTCCTTGTTGATTTTGCCTATTGCTCTGTCCATTTCTGAAAGTGGAGTGTTGAAGTCTACAACTATTGTGTAGTTCCCAATGTCTGGTTTCAGATTTTATAATAGTTGTCATATATATTTTTATACTCCTTCAATTGGTGCATAAATATTGATGAGTATTATGTGTTCCTTATGAGTTGATCCCTTAATTATTACATAGTTTTCCATCTCTGTCTCATTACCTTCTTTAACTGGAAGTCTATTTTATCTAATATAAATAGGTCTGTCCCTGGGCCTCCCCGGTGGCGCAGCGGTTGAGCGCTGGGTTGCGAAGCTGCCCGCAGCCTCTGCGGCGCCGGTTCGATCCCCGGCTGCTCCCCGGCCACCAGAGGAGGGTCCCACAAGGCACGCAGACCTCTCCTGCCACCCGCTGCTCCCCTCAACAGTGTACTTCGGTCCTTCTGCCTGCTCTGCTCCCCGCTCTGGTGAATTCTCTCACCCTCCCGCGCTTCTGACTGTACCCAGTGCATGTATAAACAAAAAAAACAAACAAATAAAATAAATAAATAAATAAAACATGCCTCTATAAAAAAAAATATATATATATAAATAGATCTGTCCCTGTATTCTGAGGTCGTCACTTTTGCTTATAGGATTTTTCCCCAACTTTTTACCTTGAATTTACTTTTTTTAAAAAAGATTTATTTATACAAGAACTGGGGTACAGGCCAGAGGTGCAGGAGGGTAAGAATTCACCAGAGACAGAGCAGGGAACAGAACAGGCAGATAGACCTAAGTACACTGCTGAGGGGAGCAGCAGGCGAGACAGGAGAGGTCTGCCACGCCCTGTGGGTATCTCCCTGGCCGGCTGGGATCGAACCTGTGCTTCATGGCTGCCGACAGCTTCACAGCGCTGCGCTCAACCCATTGTGCCACCGGGGGAGGCCCCCTTAAATTTACTTTTATCTTTGTAGGTCAAATGGGTCTTCTGGAGACAGCAAAAAGATAGGTTTTGTTCTGTGCCTTTTGATTTGATGAATTCAGTCCATTTACATTTAAGGTATTGATATATGAGGACTATTGATATATGAGGATTTGTGATTGCTATTTTGTCTTTAGTTTTCTAGTTCTATTTCCTTGTTCATGGCTTGTGTCTTTTCTTCTCTTCTATTTAAATAGGAGAGCCCTGGGCCTCCCTGGTGGTGCAAGGGGTTAAGATGCAACCTATGAAGCTGTCTGCAGCCTCTGCAGCACAAGTTTCATCCTCGGCCGACCAAGGAGCTACCCACATGGTGCAGCAGACCTCTCCTGACTCGCCCGCTGCTCCCCTCAGCAGTGTATTTCAGTCAGTCTGCCTGTTCTGCTCCCCATTCTGTCTCCAGTGAATCCTTTCAACCCCCACACCTCTGGCCAATACCCCAGTTCTTGTATGCATAAATAAACAAATATTTTTTTTAAATAAATAAATAAGTAGGAGAGCCCTTTCAACATTTCTTGCACAGAAGATCTAGTGTTGGCAAACTTCCTCAGTTTCTGTGCTCATCTGGGATGGCCTTTATTTCTCCTTCATATCTAAAAGAGAGTCTCACAGGATATAGTATTCTTATATGGCAATTTTTTTATCACTAAGTATTTTGAGTACATTGCTTTATTCTCTCCTTGTTCTTGGAGTTTCTTCTGAGATGTCTGATATCAGCCTTATAGGATTTCCATTATAGTTTATCTGCTTTTGGTTCCGAGCTACCTCCAATTTTCTTTCTTGTCTTGAGCTCTCATTAGTTTCACAACTATGTGCCTACATGTAGTTCTTACTGCATTTAGATAACCAGGAATTCTTTTAGATTCTTGGACTTGTATATTTATTTCATTCACCAGGTTTGGGAAGTTTTCCTTAGTTCTTTGAATAAGTTCTCTCCTCCCTTCTCTCTCTCAGATAATTATTCTTATGCTGACTTTCCTATTGGAGTCATGTAAATCTCAAAGTGTTTCTTCATTTTTCTCTCCCTATTTCTCTTTCTTCTTCCAGTTAGGTCTTTTATGCATTATGATTTTCAAGGTCACTGACTCAATGCTCTATTTGATCTAGTATACTTCCATAGCTTTCTGCAGCATGTTTTATCTCCTCTGCTAGTCTTTTTTGCACATTGCAAGTCCCTTATTTTCTTATTTAAATCATCAATTTCTATTTTCTGTTCATTGGTTGTATTTCTGATATCTTTGTGGCTGGAATTTGAAAAGTTGATCTCTCCTGTGGTGTCATATTTCCTTGAAGTCTCAAGTTTCCAGTGTTGTATTTTGTTCTGTTTTTTTTTTTTTTTTTTTTTTTTTGCTTATTTGTCTTCCCACTCTGCTGTTTTAGATCTTCACCCCAGGAGTCCTACATGCTTCAGCAGTAACAAGTTGGGAACTTCAGTGGAAGTTTGAAAGAACAC